CGTTTTCATCTTTCATCTTTGGTATGTGTCTAGTCAATTATTTCAGATTCTCAAGGAGATGAAGAACTTAATGAGTAAGTGCACTGGGAAGGAAACCTGAGAAAGATATGTGATATGATCTGTATGTACCATGGGCAGAAATTTAAAAAAAAAAAAAAAAAAAAAAAAAAAAGCTAACGTTTTCATCTTTGGTATGTGTCTAGTCAATTATTTCAGATTCTCAAGGAGATGAAGAACTTAATGAGTAAGTGCACTGGGAAGGAAACCTGAGAAAGATATGTGATATGATCTGTATGTACCAGATACCATGGGCAGAAACAAGTATTTGGTGACTAAGACCGCATGCCTTGGTTGAGGGCTGAGCTCCTGCCTTGGGCCTTTAACTGCAGGAGGCAGAGCTCTGAGCACACAATGCCACTTGAGCATTGGTCAATGGATCCACTGTTCACTCTTTCAGCTTCTTTACCCCTTTCTTTGCTTTCCCTTCAAGGACCAGGGGGTCTCAGTGCCCACAGCAGTGCCTACAGTAAGGACTAAGAGATCACAGTCTTGCTCTCTTTGGGACTCTAGAGCTAGCCCCACATCCGCTCATTTGTCTGGTTCTCAGGCACCATGCTGGACCAAGGCGGGAGCATTCGGAAGACTTTCATTCCACACACCATGGTGATGGAACCACAGGTTTCCTGCTTAGAAAGCAGGGGCTCAGGGGTCTGGAGAGATGACTCACTAGTTAAGAGCACTGGCTGCTCTTGCAGAGGACCTCACATTCAGTTCCCAGCGTTCACATGAGGTGGTACAACTTCCAGTAACTCCAGTTCCAGGGGATCAACACCCTCTTCTGGCCTTCACAGGCACCACACTGGCATGTACACGGTGCACATACGGACAAGCAGGTACGTGCGTGCGCACACACACACGCACACACACAAATAAAAATAAATCTTAAAAAAAAAAAAAAAAGAAAGCAGGGGCTCAGTCAGCAGACTCAAGCCTGGCAGATCTGAGTTAGCCTTGGAATTCCAGACCACGACTGTTACTGCTGCTTTTTAAGAAAACCAATCAAAATTCTGCTTCTTTGATGTTCCTGAGATCCATCTCCCAGTCTCAATCCTGGCTACACAATAGAATCATCAGGACTATTTCAGCAGTGCCAATGCTCAGAGCACACTCAGACTGCCACACAAGACCTCACAGGCAGCTCAGGAAGCTCAGGCTCTGCATTTCCCACAAGTACCCAGTGAGAGCCAAGTGGTAGCCAGGGTGCCACTGGGGACTCTCACCTTTTCCTATCTTTTTTATCTTCCAATTCAGCCTCACTGACCATCACTGGGCCCTGGCTTAGGGTCTTCACTGGGGTTTTACTGATGTTGTTTTTGTGACAGGGTATCATATAGTTCAAGCTGGCATCCCTATGAAGCCAAGAATAACCTTGAACTCATGCTCCTCCTGCTTCTACCTCCCAAGTGCTGGGGTTACAGACATACACCACCACGGCTGATTTATGTGGTGCTGGGAATTGAGTTCAGGGCTTCGTGAATTCTCAGCAAGCACTCAACCAACCGAGCCATGTGGTTAGTCCTGGCTTTCCTATCCACCTGTGACCACCCTTACTATCCTCCTCAGCAAGGACCACTGATGGGACCTGTCCCCCAAATCATGACCTTTCAGTCCCTCAATTTCTTGATCTTGCAAAGGACTTGGGTTCAGTTTCCAGCACCCACATGGTGACTCACAACTGTCTGTAACTCCAGTTTCAGAGGATTCAATGCCCTCTTCTGGCCTCTGTGGGTACCAGACATGCATGTGGTATACTTGCATACATATAGGCAATGCTCATATACATAAAATAAAAATAAATACATCTTTTTTAAAAAAGGCAATGAATTTTTCCTTCCCAGAATTCCTGCCCCAGTGTCGTCCCTACAAGCCGCCATGAGTTTTGTCTGGGTCTGCCTGCCTTTCTGAATCCTAACTTGGACAGGAATAGCTATTCCTATCTCTTCTGTCTTTTTTCTTTTGGGTGCTGGCCAGAGTCTAAGTATGTTCTCCATGGTACTCTGAAGCCCCTCCCACCGTGTGGCTGACTGCCATGCTGGCTTATCTCACGTAGCATGATGATTTTTCTATTTTCCAATCTCTTCCTCCAGGAAGCTGTAAGATTACAGCATGCCTGCTCTCGGATTTTTCTTTTAAAGTCTAATAAATTGCCCTTGGGCTTCTGTTTGCATCCACTCTTAAGAACCCTAGGAGGGAACCCTGGTTTTCTCAGAATCACATGGTGGCTCTGTAGGACTCCCCAAGATTTCTGGTAATACTTCTTTCTTGCATTAAAAAAAATTTTTTGAGTGTTGGAGAGATGGCTCAGTGGTTAAGAGCACTGGTTGTTCTTGCAGAAGACCTGGGTTGAATCCCAGCACCCACATGGCAGCTAACAACTTTCTGTAATTCCAGTTCCAGGGGGTCCAACACCCACTTCTGTCCTCTGTGGGTACTGCATGACATGGGTACACTTACACACATGCAGGCAATACACACATACATAAAAAAATAATAAAAATTTTTTTCTTTGAGAAAGAGTCTTACTATGCAGCCCTGACTGGCCTGGAACTCACTATGTAGACCAGACTGGCCTCCAGCTCACAGAGATTAGCCTGCCTCTGCCTCCAAAGTGCTGGGATTAAAGTCATGTGTAACCAAGACTGGCTCTGCCTTTTAATTACTTAACTGGCAGAGAAAACAAACTGGTTCCTACACCCCTAGATAGTATCACTTTCTTCAACCTCTTCTAGTTTTTCTGAGGTCTCAAACAGCCTTGTTGTTTCAGTTTTCCCCTATTACTGAGGACTGAACCCAGGGCTTTGTATTCTGGGCAAGCTCTCTACCATTGTAACCTTTTTTTTGGTCCTGAGAATACAGGCCTGTGCCACCAAGCCTGACTTCTGCTCTTCTATTTTCTGTTCATCTTAGCACTTGGGGCCATTTTTATCAGCATTCTTATCAATACTTTAAATTCCACTGTCCTTAAGTCCCTCCCCTTGTGTTCATTTTGCAAACTCCCACCATGAACCCGGTCATCAGTCTCTGGACCTGCACCCACCCCAGCTGATGTCTCTATAGTCCATCTGTGACCACAGTGCTCCTGCACCTTCCTGACCTCAGATCAGACCACTCCCACTCCACAAAACACGTAAGACCCTCTCCTCACTCTTCCACTTGGAGTCCTCCCTCTCTTCCTCTCTTTAAGAAGTTACCTTAGATGATAAAATAGCATCCATTTCCCAATGACAAATGCCGTACTTACACTGGAGCCCATCTGATAGCGCCTGCTCCTGTGAAAGATTAAATAAGAGCCATCCCTCCTTCTTCTCTACCTCACATCTCCTCAGGACACCACCCAGAAGCCTTTCACCTGTATGCTCATTTTTCTCCATCAAGTCAATCCTTATGGCTCTCAAATACACTCAGGTCTTTGCACCTGGACACCAAGCCCAGTAGCACACTGGGTCCCTCCACCCCATGTGTCTGACTCTCGCCACAGCAAGCTAGTCAAAAGCTATGGCTGCGAAAGCCTGTTGCCATTGTTTCTCCTCCCCTCATTCCTCAGCTGATTCCAAGCGTCACCCTCACCAGCAAGCCAGTTACCTCCACCTGGCCAAGTCCCATGAAATGCTGCTGACTACTTTTTCCCTGGTTCTGGGACACCCATTTTTCTGGTGAGCTCCTTGCTCCCTATCTCCTGTGATGGTTCTCCCCCTCTAAGTGATCTATCATCAGCAAATAACCAGATTCCCTTTGCACTTCTGACTGGGGGTGTTACCACTTCATGCTTCCCTTTCCAAAGAACACAAGTTCAAAATGCCAAACCAAGCCATCTCCTATTCCCTAGTGAGGTCTCAACAACACACAGAATAAGCTGTGAAGCAACAGCAAGCCACACAGGGTGCAAACACAGACACAATGAGCATACCCAGCACTGAAGTGTGGACCACACACAGCATACTCTGTGGAAGGTCATCCACTCACCTTCACAACATGGCAGAGCTTCTGTGTCAAAGCCAAAACTGAGCTAACATCATAGTCTTGGAGACGAAATGTATATCCAAAAGTTTTAGCATATTCTGTAAGCAGATCTGTCATCATAAGGCAGTTATCTTTTTGGGACCGCAGAAGTTTAACAAACTGGGCAGCTAGAGCCTTGAATCGTTCTACTTCTGTCAAAGTCAGGATTTTTTCTTCTCCACATTCCAATACCTTAAGAAATACACAAGGAGGAGGGAGGGGAGTTCAAACACATTATGATTGCACCTGAAATTAAAAGGCATGAAAACCTACACAATTACTCACTTAAAAGTAGATGGCATTTTGGGTATAAAGGCCCAGTTCCTCAAGATCAAAGAGATCTAAGACTGACTGCACAAAAATGTACTCACTGCCAAATCACGTATTTATAAATGGTTAACATGGTAAATTCTGGCATGTGTATTTTACAACAATAAAATAAGTTCTAGAATGCTGGGTATGGTGGCACATGCCTTTAATCCTAGCACTTGGGAGGCAGGTGGGTCTGTGAGATCGAGGACAACCTGGTCTCCATAGTGATTTTCGGGCCAGTTGAGACTATGGAAGACCTTGTCTCTAAAAAAAAAAAAAGGCTAGACATGGTAGCACATGCTGTTAGCCATTAGTCATGTTAGTCCCAGAAATTGGAAGGCAGAGGCAGGTGGATCTCTGTGAGTTCAAGGCCAGCCTATTCTATATAGTGAGTTTCAGGCTGGCTGGTGCTACAGCGAGACCATGTATCAAAAAAGTTTTAGGGGCTGGAGAGATAGATGGCTCAGTAGTTAAAAGCACTTGTTGCTCTTGTAGAGGACCCAGGTTCGGTTCCCATAAGCCACATGGCAGTTTACAACAGTCTGTAATTCCAGGTCCAGGGGATCCGACATACTCTTCTGGCCTCCTTGGGCATCATGTATACATGTGATGCACTGACATACACATAAGCAAAACACTTATACACACAAAATTTTTAAATCTTAACAGCTTGGCACTGACGCTACCTCATGCACTCACTCACCTCCATAAAAGCGATTAGAAAGTATGGAGCTACTACCCAGATTAAGACAGACACTATCAGGGCTGAAGAGATGACTCAGCAGAGGACCTGGGTTCAGATTCCCACCAGCACCCACATGGCAGCCAACAATCATCCGTAACTCCAGTTCCATGGGATCCAACACCCTCCTCTGACCTCTGCAGGCATTGCACAACACAGGTAGGTGCACTTACATACACACAGGCAATACACTCATACACATTAAATAAAATAATAAAATATATTATTATTATTATTTTGGTCTTTTTGACAGAGTCTCCCTGTAGCCCCAGCTGGCCTGGAACTCACTATGTAGACCAAGGCTGGCCATGAACTCAGATCTGAATGCCTCTGCTGCCCGAGTGCTGGGATTAAAGGCCCGAGCCACCACGCCCAGCAAATAAAATATTTTAAAAGACTAATGCTATCATATTCTTTTTTCAATAATTGCCCTAAACAAGTTTGAGGATTATTTTTAAGACAGAATCTTGCAGTTTAACTCAGGCTAGCCTCAAGCTCACAGTTCTCCATCCTCCATCTCCTAAGTGCTGTGATTACAGGCATATATCAGTATGTCTAGCTGAAGAATAATTCTTTATTGCAGAACAAATCCCACATTTACTTAAAAATACCAACATAGTTTTGCTGGTGGGAATATTTCAGACTCATAATTTAAAAAACAAAAACAACAACAGAAAACCTCCATATGCATACGCTCAGAAAGATGCTTATAGAATTAGAATTATTTCACTTACTTGTAAAATATCAGGTATGGCTTCCAAAAGTTCAAGTAGTTTGGTAAATCCATAGTATGCGAGTTTGCACTGCCGGCCAAAGTGGTGGTGGTACGAGGGAATGAATTTATTAAAGGGCATCCGGAAATGGGGCTGGTGACGCAGCAAATCGACAACATCCTTCGAGAACTGCTTTGTCCTTTCGATTTCATCCTGAGTACGTTCTTTAAAAACCAGAACATATTATAAGTCAGTCTTCCACCCATTTGTGCTTATTACCAACCTCACAGTTAAGTCCCATTCAGAGCTTACAAGAGATCAGCTTTGCCTTCTAAACTCACACAATCCCAAACAGTCATACTTAGTCTTCCTGTTGGTAACAACCTCATAAGCCAGGAACAATTTCCCATCATTCTGTCTACTCCATCTATAAGAATACAATACACCCAAAGGTCTTTGCACTTAAAAGTAATCTGGATGCTATTTCTTTGAAATCAGGTTTTGGTTTATTCATTTGATCTTCAGTTAAAAAGTTGCTGGCAGGGGCTGGAGAGATGGCTCAGCAGTTAAAAACACTGGCTGTTCTTACAGAAGACCCAAGTTCAAATCCCGGCGCCCACATGGCAACTAACAATTGTCTGTAACTCCAGTTCCAGGGGATCCGACAGCCTCTTCTGCTCTCCATGGGCACTGCATGACACGGGTGCACTTACCTACATGCAGGTAATACATGAATACACATAAAATAAAAATAATAAAATATTTTTTTTTTAAAAAGTTGCTAACGGGGTTAGATGTGGTAGTGTATGACTTTAATCCCAGTACTCGAGAGGCAGAGGCAGGCAGATCTAAGGCAGCCTGGTTTACATATCAAGTTCTAGGCCAGCTGGGCTATAGAGAGACCCTGTCTCAAAAACCAAAAAGAAAACAACAAAAGTTGCTAACAAAGAAGAGTATTAGGCACCAAAATGTTCCCATTTGTTTTTAAATTAGAATTAGAAAAAGACAGACACTCTAAACTTTAACTCTGGAAGTCTGTGACCTCAGGGCCACCAGTGTTCTGCAGGATACTGGTGGCCCTGCTGGTCAGTAAAAGGGAGAACATGAAAATAAAGAGATCTGTCTTCAGACTATGAGCTGCACTGTACTACAAGTGGACAGACAAGCCACGTTACTCTAAGTTTTGTTTCTTTTCTTTTTTTTTTTGAACAGAGTCTCACTCGGTCTGGAACTCACTGTATAAACCAGGCCTGCTTCAAATTCAAAGATCCACCTGCCTCTGCTAATAATGCTGGGGTTAAAGGCACATGCCACCACTAAGTCCAGCTTTTGTTTCCTTCTTAAGTGTGTACAGTGAGGCAGTTTTGGCCAACTGCAGAAATCACTGTGCACAGCTGGGAAGCACTTTAATAAAGTGCTGGTTACAGCCTTTTCTCCCCTTTAAGTAAATTCTTGTAAAGTAGTGTGCTTTCAGGGCTGGAGGGGGTGGCTCAGTGGTTAAGAGCACTGATTGCTCTTGCAGAAGACTCGGGTTTGAATCACAGCACCCACATGACAACTAACAACTGTCCATAGCTCCAGTTCCAGGAGGTCCGACGCCCTCTTCTGTCCTCCATGGGTACTGCACGACATGGGTGCATTTATGTACAAGCAAGCATAACACTCAGACACATAAAAATAAATCCAAAAAATGTTTTTTTAAAAAAGTAGTGTACTTTTAGGGCTGGAGAGATGGCTCAGCCGTTAAGAGCACTGACTGCTCTTGCAGAGGACCCGGGTTCAATTCCCAGCACCCACATGGCAGCTATGAACCGTCCTTAACTCCAGTTCCAGGGGAATCCAAAGCCCTCTTCTGACCTCCTCGGCATTGCATGACACGGGTGCACTCACATACATGCAGGCAATACACTCATACACATAAAACAAAAATAGTAAATAAAATATTTCTGAAGTAGTGTACTTTCTTTGGTGACATGTGGCTTTCCCTATTCCAAAAAGCACAGGCTGTACTGTGTACTAAGTAGCAGTTTTCAAACCTCACTTCCCAAGGAACCTTTAAGAACCATGGAAAGGGAGAGGAAAGGACACCCCCTCCTAAATTATTTCATTTTAAATAACTGTTGAGGTAGGCATGATGGCAAGAGTACTGCTCCAAGTTTGAGGCCAGCCTGGGCTACCTAGTGAGTTTCAGTCTCAAACGACAACAAAATAAGAACACTCCCATAGAAATAGACACATCCTTCCACATACCTCTTCTGGGGATACAAATGACCATGTCATTATCTTGTTGGGACAAGCAGATGGTTGTGTCTGGGATCTCAGATACAATATCAATCAATTCACAAACACCATACTCGGTGACATCCCAGTCCTTTGAGAAACACCTAGATTTTAACATGGGAAATGGGCAAAGAATGAGTAAAATCAATGCCACAATAACAAGTTTCCCAAGAGTACTTAATAGAAAAGTCAGACCACTATTTAAAACTTGTGGGAAGCATTTGGAAATGTTTGCTTTTGTTTTTTTAGTTCTCATCAACTCACCAATGATAAGCCTGTGAGAACTCTCTCAGAATGACCTGCTTGCTGGCCTGGGACTTGAGAAGTTTCAGTAAATCCTGAGTAAAGCGTTTCACCTGGGCCCTGTGCGTGAGGGTCAAGAGGCGCTTAGAGCCCATTCCAAGAATCTGAAAATCAAATATTCTGATTACTTAAGACTCCTAAGAACTCAAAAGACACTTTCCTGTGTTGACTTTGTCTCTCTTGCTCATTCCCCTCAGAGAATAACTCCCCTTATGTCTGCAATATGGGATAGACACAAACCAACATGTACAATTAGAAAGAACAATGGCCCAACTACCTGGGACCACAATACATCCAAACCCATTGTTTGATGCTGCACACCCTGTCTCAAATAATCACGGGCATAAAGAGGAAGACTACATGGTCAGTCTGGACAAATAATTATGATTCTAAAATACAGCTAAGTTTTCAAGCCTTTTCACAAATGGGAAACTATCAAAACAATGTCGAGGCAAAATGATAGGAAAAGTCTACAAGAGGATCCAATGCTAAGCTCTAGCCCAGTGACTAATACCCACTCATTTAGAAAGGTAGAGCCCTTGACTCCCTGGAAGGTGCCAACATGAAGTGCACAATGTTCACAGCGGCCCCTAACAATGATGAACATCCTAGAGTACTGTGCTGGGAGGCAGGTTAAGGTCCAAAGAGCTTAAGGTAAAATACCCCAGGCCTCTAAGGAGTTCCTCTGGGTTAGAAACTTGTAGCATCCTCAAAACTTGAGAGGGCATCCATACTCTGAAGAAAGCTTTCACAAGATGTTAGCTCAGAACTGAGTTCTGAGAAATGATGTGACTATTCTGTCCTGCATCTTTGGCTGTGGCAGCCAAAGTCATGAAGGAGCACTCCCTTTGGAGAACAAATGACCCCTCAGAATCCTTTACCTGCAGCACGTGAGGCACGGCCTCTAGTAGCTCAATCAGCTTGGAATATCCATAGTCTGAAACCCGGCACTGCTTTGCAAAATGGTGGTGGTACGAAGGGATGAAGTTATTGATGGGTATGATACAAGATGGCTGGTTCTTCAGCAAATCAATAACTGCTCTGCTGAACTGGATCAGTTGGGGATTACCCACAGGACTTTTCGAACGCAGAAGCCAAGGGTCTAGAAAAAAGACAGAACACGTAAGACCCAAAGGATGATTTCGCTAGCTGACAGGAAGGCCACTGTGTTCTTACTTGAGTTCACTCAGCAGTAAACAGAGGGACCAGATGGCTGCCTTGAGATCCAGCTTCTATACTCAGGTCCTACAGGATCAATTGGTCAGGCCCCTTACTAAAGGTGGTAAATCAGTCTTCATAATTCTCAGAAGTGAAAATAAAGTGCACACTAGTGTTACAATAGAGGCGAAAATACAGGGGGACTCACCCTTTTCAGAGATCCATTTCTAACTTGGCATGTGTATCAGACTTTCTCACAGAGACACAAAGTAGATGGGCACCAGGTAGGTGAGAGTTAACCCATAACAGAGCTGAAGCATTACCCAGAAAGCTATGGTGCACAGTAATGTTAGAAAACTACCAGGCCAGAAAACTGAGGAAGAAGAAACAGGATCCATCTACCTACCTACCTACTTACCTATGTAGCCCTCGCTGTGAAGACCAGGCCAATCTCAAACTCATAGCACTCCTCCTGCCTCTGCCTAAGTGCTAGGATTACAGGCCTGCACCACCATGAAACAGGTTTTTACTTTATCTTGAGTGCTCACACCTGAAAAAAAACTTTAACTAAAAAAGCCTAAATAGTGGCATAGTGCTACATGCCCTTAATCTTAATTGGAAGGGGGCTGAGACAAAAGGATCCAGGGTTCAAGACAAGCCTGGATTACATTAGTGAGCCCCTGTCTCCAAACAAAGCAAAACCTAAGAGATAAGACAGAAACCTTCATAAAGAAAAGGAAGGGACTTGTGGACTCCTAGCATAGGATAGAAAAGGGCTTCATAGGCCCTGAACAGCCCAACACTGAGGGAAAGAGAGGATGAGTTCAGGAATTCTCTGTCTAGCAATTCTCCCAGGGGTGCCTGACTCAGGTCAAGCTCCTAGTCATCCTCACCACTTTTTCTGTATAGGAAAAAGGAGGTGGAAGCCTAAGGGGGAAGACATGCTGGGGCCAAAGAAAAGGATGTCTGTGTACATGTGTGGCTGTACATACATACACACATATGCTCATATGTATGAAGATTTAAAAATGATAGTCACAGCAACATGACACATCAGCAACTCTAGGCCCCCATAACACAGAAACTCACCCAAATCTAGGTTAAATTCCCCAGACCTTTATATTGAAAGATATTTTCACATTTATCAAAGTCAGCAATGATGGGCCAGGAGTGCATGATAGTGCACACCTTTAATCCCAGCACTCAGGAGGCAGAGGCAGGCAGATCTGTGAACTTGAGGCAAGCCTGGTCTACACAGTGAGCTCCAGGCTAGCTACACAGTAAGATGCTGTTTCAAAAAAAGTCAGGAATATTGACTAAAATGAATTTCAAAGGTAAACACGCATTCAAACATTTCCTTCAAGTGCTTGAGGCTATTTTAAAAAGGTCCAATAAGCCAAAGGCTTTACAAAACCAAGCAGCTGAAGAAATGTGCAGATGTAAAACCTGGGTTTTAAGTGTCTTCCTAAGTCATGCTGGTGCTGATTTTTAAAATAATTTTATTTATTATATTTATTTTATGTGTGTGCATGTATTGCCTGCATGTAGGGAAGTATACCCGTGTCATGCAATGCCTGAGGAAGTCAGAAGAGGCTGTTGGATCCCCTAGGACTAGAGTTACGGACAGTTGTTAGTGTGGGTGCTGGAATTCAAACCTGGATCTTCTGCAAGAACAACTATGTTCTTAACCGCTGAGCCATCTCTCCAGCCCTGGTGCTTTCTAACTTTAAGAAGAAATTTAAAATTATATTTGATTCAGATTCTTACAAGATTCCTTTTGTGGTCTATCTTTGAAAACATTTGTACTCCAAGTTCATAGCCTTCTCCAGACCTGGGCGGGGTGGGCGGTGGTGGTGGTATGTGTACATGTGCACACAGATATGGCTACTCATGCCGTGGAACTCATATGGAGTCAGAGGACAACCTGTGGAAGTTGATTCTCTCTTCCCACCTTATGGGTCCCAGGTACTGAACTCAGATTGTCAGGTTTCGTGGCAACTACCTTTACCTACTGAACCTGCTGGCCCAATGTTGGTAATTTCAAAAGTCAGGTTCTGTCAAGTCCTTGGCATTTAAGGACAACTGTAAGATTGGAGGAGATACCATGGTACCAGGTCCTCCTGGACTCCTTGTAGATGGGGGATGGGGGGCTCAGCAGGACTCAATCTCAGACGCCTGCCCACTTACCAGTGTTGGGAGGTGGGGGCTTGTTGTGAATCCACTTCACTACTTTGATGCCATTCTGAGCGGTGGCAATGTTAACTCCAGGAATGCAGGTGATGAAGTGTTCTAAGGGGACACCCCCATGGCTGTCCTGTAAGATTTCTAGGTCACCAAACTCTGCAGCATAGCAATCTGGAAAGCTGAAGGGACAAAAAGGTTAAATGAAAATAATGGAAAGCCAAGTATATGCTAAACAGCAGGCTTTTGTTCAATGTATCTGTCTGATGGGCAACTTCAGTCTGGTTTAATGCTAGAACTAAGGTCCCAGAGAGGCAACTGCTGTGGTGCCAGCTTCTGTGATACATTCTGATGATTCTAGAAATTCCTGGGCAGTGTTCAGGAGGGGCTTAGATGGAAGGCAACCAGGCTCCAGGTCAATCACTACTATAACATTTGGGGCAGTAAGGCCACAGACTCAGAGTTGGCCTTTATATCCAGTCTACATTGTGGCCCAGAGTGATTCAGTGTGTGCAGGTAAAGGCTTTCCTCCCCAGCCTTAAAGCCTGCATGAAGTTGTGTACTGTGCTTGCACTTGTACAGCTCTCAATTCAGACCCACAAGGCATCTCTCTTCTGTAGAGAAGAAACTGTCTTCCTCCTGTTTATGTTTGTGAGATTCAACATAAACGTAGTATTCTGTTTGAAACACCAAGGAGCACAGAGCCACTTCTGATAAATAAACTGTTATGGCTGACAGATAGGAGAGAACCCTTTCTCTAATCCTTGGCACAGTCAATGGACAGATCGCAGGGAAAACCACTACAGTACTCAAATCCTAGCAGCTAACATAGCTCACCTTAACAAAGGCACGGTGCCCTCATGGGTCTGGAGAAGACTATGAACTTGGGGTGCAAACGTTTTCAAAGACAGAACCACAAAAGGAATCTTGTAAGAATCTGGATCAAATTCATGTTCACTGTAGGAAAGAGAGCAAAACAGTCAGCTGACATTTCTCAGGGGTCGAAAACATTAAGGGTGTTGTTAATTCTAACATGTTCCAGGATCACATATAAAAGGTCTTCCAAGGTAGACGGGCAGCATACCTGAAGTCCTTATTAGAACAATGCTGTCTGCAGACGGGCTCATGATATTCTAACTCTTCAAATATAATTGGGCTGCAATTTGTAGAGGAGCCATCATGTGACTGTGACGACCCCAGGGGGCTCTGGCGGGCCTGGCTGCTGGGTAAGAGACACACTAGCCGCCCATTTCCCTGCTCACGGATTGCAATTGTGTCTGTTAATTTATATAAATCTGACACGTTCAACTTGTGTCCAAACCTAAGAACAAGAGAGAGATACTGACTTAGATTATAGAGAAATACCTGACCCGTTTAAATAAAGAGCCACAACCAAAAATGGCTTCTCTACCTCTCCAAATGTAAAGCCATATTACTCTACTCTGAACTCATTCACTCCTGCAACCACATGTGGCTCATAGGCACATACAATGGCACTATTAGTTGGTAGCTCTTCCCATGTCAATACCCTTACTGCACATCTGGGATGGAGAACTCTCCATGTAGCATTCTCACCCACATGCACCTCAACTGTGGGACCATGCGTCCTCTGGCCCTGGACTCAACAGCCCTGACTTGGCTCTGCTACACCTAGAGCTTAAAGGCCCAGGCTCTGAAGCAGACAGATTTGGATTCACATCCTGAGTCTATTTCAATCTTTGTACCTCAATCAAGATACACAACAAATGTGAGCCTTAATTTTTCTCTTTAACCTGGTATGATAACACACCCCTCACCATGCAGAGGTGAAGATTAAGTGTGATAAGTATGGATAGGGCTTGGCTTGGTGTACACACGTGGTTAACAGTCACCTGCTCTTCAGTCCTCCCTGTCCAGCAGTTCACTGCCAGTGCCCTATATCCACACTCCAATGTCTTCCCTAGCAACACCTGTCCCCTGGGTCTCCCCATCCAGGGAGATGCATATTCTTTCTGTGCTCTCATTCTTGGTATTAAACTCTCCTTTCCCTCAGAGTGTGATCACCTGGTCTCTAAGGAGCTGCATCTGCCCAGGTTCTTAACCACTTCCCTCCTAAGGTTTATCCAAAAGACTCTATGACAACTGTTCTTTGTCACCAGTTGTCCCCAAACCTCAGCCCATTTCCTCAGCCTGAGATTCCTCATATGCCTGACATCTCTTTCTGCGCCCTCCTTACCCATACTCAGCTCTAGGGCTGCTCCCCAGCCTTCTATCCATTTCTACCTTCTCTGCTTCTCCTCTCACCTCCTCTGGGCTTATCTGCTTCCCTGCCCATCACAATTCCCTTTAGGCAAACAATAGCCACTATCCAAAAAGCCTCCACAGAGTAGCACCGCAACACTCTGGCCACCCAGAAGGCATATGTCTAAAACCAAGACCCCACTCTCTATGTCCCTATTCAAGCTTCGTCTCCCTGCTTCCTGTTTACCTGTCGCACCACGCTTCCAGGCATCCAAGGCAAAAAGCGCAGATCAAATAACTTATACGTTTTAAAATCTGGCCAGACAGGGTTTTATGTAGCCCTGTCTAGCCCTGCACTTGCTACGAAGCTAAGGATGCTCCTGAACTCCAGATCCTCCAGCTTCCATCCCAAGTGCTGGGATTACAGGTGTGTGTCATCATGCTTTGAAGACACATGAAATTTCTGGAGCATCTAGGTCTTTGTGCTCTAACAGCACCAGCTCAGAGTTGACCTCGAGCAGAACTTTCCCTCTTCTCCTCCTCTCCTTATTCATACCATCTCAGACACTCCTGCCACCAGGAGTCTCCCGGAAGATGGTTCTGATCAACACAGCTCTCCATTCTCCTCACCTCCAATACAAGAAGTGGCTCCTGCTACCGGTGGAGCAACATACACACTCCTGGTTTTGCCCCTCCTTTGGATCTTTGAAGCATTTCCTCTTCCCTGCACCTCCTCTTCAGTGATAGTTCTGATTTCTTCCCTTTCCTTCTAATGCCTCTGAGATGGCCATGAGCTTCTCAGACAGGCATTTCCACAGTGCCTCAGCCTTCATTGCCACTGACACTTTTAAACATCTACTACACACTGGACACTGAAGATAGGGTTAGGTCAGATCCAGTCCTGTCTAGAGTTTACTGTCCAGATCATGCTCAAAAATGTCATTCCAATAATAAAAAAACTAGTCAGCAAAACAAGACAAGAGTATAGCTTTGGTAGCCAGGCATGGTGGTACATGCCTTTAATCCCAGCAAATGGGAGGCAGAAACAGGCAGATCTCTGGGATCGAGACCAGCCTAGTCTACATAGCTGTCTCAAAAAGACAAAAAAAGGTGTAGCTTTGGGAACTGAAGTCTACATTTGCTAAAAAGGAGCTGGGCGTGGTGGCACATGCCTTTAATCCCAGCACTTGGGAGGCAGAACTCTGTGAGTTCGAGGCCAGCCTAGTCTACATAGTGAGTACTTCCAGGTCAGCTGGGGCTATAGGAAAACCCTGTCTCAAAAAGAACAACAACAACAAAAAGGATCCTAAATTCCTAAATTCAAACTTCCAATCTTAATCTTATCAGCATTGCCTTTATTCATTCCCTTTACAAGAGGAACATTCCTTAAGGGCCACCACCATAAGTCTGTGAACAGAAGCCACCAATCACCAATCTCTACTAATTGTATCAATGGAACAACAGCCTTACTTACTTTTTTTCATAGATGTCCGTAAACTTAAAAAGAGGTAAACAGCAGGCAGGAGCATCTTGAAGAACAGACACTGTCTCTGCACTGTACGACAAAATAGTCAAATTAGAGTACAAACCACTTGCTCTACATTATGAAGTATACTCTTTTTTTTTGGTCATTTTGAGACAGGGAGACCATGTCAGCAGTTAAGAGCACTGACTGCTCTTGCAGAGGACCTGGGTTCGATTCCCAGCACCCACATGGTGGCTATGAACCGTCCTTAACTCCAATTCCAGGGAAATCCAAAGCCGTCTTGTGACCTCCGCGGGATTGCACGACATGGGTGCACTCACATACACGCAGGCAATATACTCATACACGTAAAATAAAACCCATTTCCTTAACTGCCTCAGAAGCTTCTGTACTGACATCCTGAAGCCTCTTTTCAGCTCTAAGAAGTTGTGGGGGAATAGAAAGGTCTTCTTCTTTACTCTAAAAAACCAGGCTGAACATTACTGAGAAGCAGATTTAGATATCAGATTGAAAAAAAAAAAAAAAAAAAAAAAGTGCATAAAATTAGTGTAATGTACATATAAAGCAAATTTACTAGTTTCAGATAAGTCAGAATTAACTTTCCAGAAAATTTTAAAAGAAAATGAAAAAGATTTTAGGGATAAGCCAATGAAAGATTATTAAGTCATACCCTAAGACTTTTGTTAAGATTTATTTTTAATTATGTGCGTCTGTGTGTGGGTATGAGTGCAGGTGCCTATGAAGTACAGAAGAGGGTGTCAGATACCCTAGAACTGAAGTTATGGGCAGCTATGAGCTGCCCCTTGTAGATGCTGAGAACTGAACTCAAGCCCTCTGTAAAAGCAACAAGCCCTCTTAACTGATGAGCCTCTCTCCAGCCCCTATCCTGGGATTCTAATCAGACTCAGTCACAGGATTTCATACACTTGTACAGCAAAAGACATGACCTCCCTTGGGGGTGGAGGAATGGGGGCAAAAGGGGGCGATAAAACGTGTGGTTTTTAACTCAGGGCAGAGGCAGAGTAGCATGAATACCTCTTGCCATTTGTGGCTTATTTATCAGATGCAGAGACTAGAATTCCCATGTGACTGGACGTGCAACTGTAAAACACTACCATCTTAACCATGCTTTATAAAAAAGGTACCAAGAGGGGCTGGCTGGAGAGATAGCTCAGCGGTTAAGAGCACTGATTGCTCTTGCAGAAGAGCCGGGTTCAATTTCCAGCACCCACATGGCGGCTACGAACCATCCTCAACTCCAGTTCCAGGGGAATCCCAAGCCCTCTTCTGACTTCTGCGGTACTGCACGACACGGATACACTCACATACATGCAGGCAATACACTCATACACATAAAATAAAAATAATAAATAAAATTAACAAAAAAAAAAGGTACCAAGAATAGTCAAAGGGAAAAGCCCAGAACCAAACCCCAACTCTGAAGGCTAATTCAGGAGATTAACCCAATAGGATTAGAAAGGACTTTTCCCATTTTCTTACTTTCCCAAAGTTGCCAAAAATTTTCTAAGTATTATTTTTATTCTAAGAAAAAAACAAAACCCCATAACTTGAAAGACCAGCAAAGTAAGAGTCAGAGAGAAAATCCTTATTTACACACATAAGAGTAAGTCCTGTTCCACTAGCTTCCCAAGATGAGAACCAAAGAGCATCGATTCTTACTGTAAGTAAAGTCATGAACTCTGCACAACTGAGCAAATCATTAGGGAGGCTCTGGGGCTGGATGTCTAGTTGGCATTAAGGATTCACCTGCAAGTTGGGAGCTTAGAAGCTCTGTAGATATGGTCTTTTAGACAAATTCACTGTCTACCAGGATTTCAAGGCAGTATTTTACACTTTTTAGGTTTCTAAGCTTTACTACAGAGATCTGCTATTTTTAGAACCTGTCCGGGTATGTGCTGTGCTGTTTCACTCCCAAGTGCCTGTCAAGTGTAAGCTGTGTTTGACTTTTGGTTAATGACCTGAACAAGAGTCAGAGGGCTGATTTCAAGCTCTATCAATTCACAATAAGCATTCTTGCAACAAGAAGACTGGGAGCATGATAAAAATCTATTTTTATTATTTCTCAAACTGTTTGTAGGTCAGGTGTTCTTTTAAAATGAGTGGCTTAGTTGGTGTTTTCTTTTACCTTAGTAAAGAGAGTGACTTGTTCGCAGCTCCTGTGGAGAGTGAGACCAGGATCTTCTTGCTGCCGATCTTGTGTCTGTGGAGGCTGTTCACTGCACTGATTGCTTCTTGGAGGTTTTCCATCTGCACAATGGCCTTGAGCTGATAATCTGTATGGGAACTGAGCTCAACACTCTTCACCTACAACAGGACGAAGAGAAACAAAGTACTGTGACTACCCAGAAGCCTGTCATTGTCAAAATGAGGGCTAACTGTTGAGGAACACACTAGCAGACTTCAGCACCTCCAAGAGGGATGTGTCTGAGTGTGGTACTGACCAGACTATGGGTGACCTTCAGAAAAGTCAGCTAAGCTGGTCTGCCCCTGTGTCTGGCACACACAGCTCTCAGGTACAAACTCAGAGACCAGGGTTTCTCTGGACTCCTCAAAATTCTGGGTCTATAAAAGGTGCTTTTTTTTTTTTTTTTCGAGGCAGGGTCTCCCTGTAGCCCCAGCTGTCCTGGAACTCATTATGTAGACCAGGCTGGCCTTGAACTCACCTGCCTCTGCCTCCTGAGTACTGGGATTAAAGGTGTGCACCACCACGCCCAGCAAAGGGTGCATTTTTGGCAAACTACACCTAAAAACTGGCTGGACACATTAAAATATAAACAAAAATAGCCAATATTAGTTTCTGTATTTTAGCATATAGCACTAAATGCCTCTACCAATGACAGACATTTCTCATGGCGAGGTCTGTGTTCTCTAGAGTGGTATCCTAAAAACTGGGTATACTGCATTTCTTCCAACAGCCACAAGGGAAAGGAAGGTGTTCAAACCTGCCCAATCACATTCATAGCCTGGTTCTGGTTCTCTTATGTCTAGTTAGGCTCACTGGATAAAACCAACAAGGACAAGAGTGAGCTGGAGGGTGGGGAGATTGGAGAGATGGCTCAGCAGCTCAGAGTGTGTACTGTTTGGTTCCCAGCACCCATATTGAGAGGCTCACAACCACCTGTCACTCTAGCTCCAAGGAATCCAATGCCTATGGCCTCCTGAGGCACCCACACATGTACATACATGTAAGTAATTAAAATAAATAAAATTTTTAAAAAACTGCAATTTTTTTAAAGAGTGAAGCCAGATACAGCGGCTTAACACCTGGAACCCTGGCAACTAGAAGGCTGAGTCAAGAAGACCTTCACAAGTCTGAGGTCAATCTGGGCTAAAGAGTTGAAAATGGGTCATGAAAACATCACCTAACTCCCCCAAACAAAACCAATCAAATAACAAGAGGGCAACGATACCTTGCCATGCCTGGAGAAGGCCTCCTGGAGAAGCTGCTGAAGCTCCTTCCGGGATAACCTGTAGTCCAAGTTGCTGACCAGGATGTCAGCACCGTTTGCAAATGGGTCTGGACAGTCAGTGAGGCTGGTAGGGTTGGCAACGGTGAAAGCAAGAGGAGAGGCTCTGTTTAAAAGGTTTGGAGACATACTCCTGCAGAAAACACACAGAAACATGAAAAATGTTTGGGACACCAAGGTTCTGCGACTCTGGCTTTGCCTGAAACTACTGACGAAAGAGGCTTTTGTATTTGATTTCACAATGTGTTTTATGTTAAACCTATGATGATTTAGGCTTATTGTCTGAAGTGCTATCAGTCAACTCCGGTAAATTATTCAGTACCAAATATTACTTCACAGAAATATTTAAAGCAGAAGGGAGAAAGCACGGGAAGCTTGGTGAGCTAATAACATTCCTCACTGAGCACCTGCTCCTAGGAAGACAGCCTCTGATGATCTTAGGTCATTGAACCTCCTCTGATCCCTGCTCACATGGCACAGTTTTACACATAAGGCTTTTACATGAATTTTTAGGGGGAATTTTACATTCACTTTCTGTAGTGATTCTTCACCAGCTCTGTATGACAAATGCAGTATCAGAACTTGCCTTCATGGCAATCCAGTCTCCCAAGCTTCCCAAAGAACTGGCTTGAGTTTAGAATTATGGATGAGGAGAGTAATAGAGATTCAGAGGTCACAGAGACCCTTACTTCTCAGAGTGCCATGGTAAGAACAACCAATGCATGTCTAGTTTGGGCTTTTTTCTCAACACAAATAAAAATATTGTTTTTGTTTATTTATTTATTTTTAAATTTATTCAGGGTCTCACTAAGTTGCCTAAGCCTAAACTGGCCTTGAAGTATGTAGCCCAGGCAGGCCTCAAACTCATAATCGTTCTGCCTCAGCCTCCCAAATGCTGGGAATATAGGCAAACATGACCTTGCCTGGCCATAAGGACATCTTAATGTCCTTCCCTGTTGACTGTGGCTTACCTACATTTCCAAACGAAGGGAGAAAAGGCAGAAAACAATGTCTCTTAAGGTCAGCTGTGGTAACCGGGGGTAAGGTCTAGCAAGGGGTGGTGACTGACCCTCTCTCACTCCATATTTCTGTACTGTCTCAGTAACAAGCACAATTTTGTGATCCTTCCTGATGCATGCTCCAGCCCACAGGTGAGGAAGCAGGACTTACCTAGGAGACCAAGACTGTGAGGTGAGCAGAGGGCTGACTTGCCTTGAGGCAATCAGTTTGCTGAAGGCAGATGGGTAGCTCACTTGGAAGATAGTCTCCTCCTTCTCCTTTTTCTCTACAGGAGAACTGGTGATACTCCGGGCACTCAGGGTCTCTTTTCTAGTAGAAAGGAAAATGTGAAAGGAAAAGTCACAAGTCTCCCATCATTTCACAGAAGCAACAACTGAGCAGGAACTGGACATACTTCTGACTGTTTCTGTAAAGCGGCTCCGTCATGCCTGTGGATTTCAGAGTGGGCACTGAAGTGCTTGGGCCGTCGTGAGGCAGTGCTGCCAGCTTCACGTGGCCTTGCTGGTGCTCACTGTTTCTGCTGCCAGTCTTTGACTCCATGTGGCACAGCTCCTTCAAAGACACAAGTGCAATGGGCTTAAAACTTAAGTACCTCAGATGGGTTAGAGCCTGCACAGAGAATAACTGAGTCTCAGCAAAAACTAAAAAGAGGAGGATTCAACAAAAATCAGCAGACACAGGACACAGAGACAGATACCCAACCTATCAAGAACTTTGGAAAGCAAGAGGGATCAGAATTACCTGCAAACTTTTAACATTTGTGGTTTTTGCAGCAGATCCAGAATTTGCCTGTGACCCTTTTCCAGGCATGGCTTTGGCACTGGGCGACTGTTCACTTGTGTCTTTGATGAGGCACAATTTTGTGTTCTTAACTTTTTTGGGAGACTTCATTTTATCAGCAATTGCATTTGAACTCTTGGCTTCACAGAGTTCTCTATGTTTTGGAGTAAACGACACAATGATCCTGTTACCAAAGACATCTTCGTTTTCCATCCGCTTCTGGGCCCGCTCTGCACTATCTTGGTTTATGAAGCGGAGAATTGCAGTGCAGCCTGAGATACTCAGCACTTTGCCACCACAGTTGTCAGACAGGCGCCTGAGCCTGTTGCCGATGCTCTTGCCGTCTTTATTGGCTGGTAGGTTATAAACATAGAGCAGAGTGTGGCACTGCAGACACAGGAAACAAGTTAAACTACCTTCAGTCAAAGGCCCAGAGTCAATTTCCAAACAAGAACAAGTGCTAGCTACACGACAATAACAATCTAGAAGAGGAGGGGACAGGAGTATAGACAGAGAGAGGTTACACTGAGTGTTGTTTTGAAGACAGCTAAGCATATATATACTGTGTGAGTCCATTTCTATACTATGTTCAGAAAAGGCAAATCTACAGAGATGGCTGAAGAGCTACCTGGGGTGAGAATGGAAACGGAAGTCTCGAAACCATCTAAAACTCCATGTGTGGCTCCAAATATTAAAAACTAGTCAACTGTCAGGCATAGTGGCACATGCCTTTAATCCCAGCGCTCAGGAGGCTGAGGTAGGTGGATCTCACAGAAATCAAGGCCAACCTGGTCTACATATTGAGTTTCAGCCCAGCTGGGGCTACAGGGAGACTCTGTCTCAAAAAGACAAAAAAAAAAAAAAAAAGTGAACTGTATACTTAAAAGACATGAATTTTGTGCTCCGTAAGTTACAGCCCTACAAGGTTTTAAGTCTTTTTATTCAGCAGGGTGGTTGAATGTCACAAAGTATGTTATAAAACTAGAGCCTGTCAAGTTACCACAGGTAGCCAACAGGTAGCCAATCAATAGCAATAGGCACTGGGTCCTGAGAACCCTTCCAGATGAATTAGGATTTTTGTATTACATGGAATTATGAGCTGGAGAGATGGTTCAGCAGTTAAGAGCACTAGCTGCTCTTTAAAGAGGATCCAAGTTCACATGGTAGCTCACAACTATTCTAGTTCTGGGGGGATCTGATTCCCTCTTCTGGTCTCTATAGGCAATGTACACATATGTACATACATACATGCAGGCAAAACACTTAAGACACAAAAGAAAAAAATAAAGAGACTTTAAAAGCAAAAAGAAAAGAAATAGAATTGTTAAAATGCCAGTAGAGAAGGAAGGTAACTGTGGAGAGGGCTAAATCTAGGAGCCACAAAAGAAATGATAAAATGAACAAAAGTGGAAATAACTTTCAAAAGAAGTATCTAGGGGCAACAGCAAAATAAAAAGATAATTTGCACCTTGCTTATAGCTTAATAAAAAGGCCAAACAAAGGCATATAGTATTTTTCACCTGCCAGACTGGCAAATATTTTAAAAAGACACTTGTACTTTTCACTGACAGAATATGAATCGATATCACCTTCCTGGAGAACAAGATCTTACCAGTAACAACTCAGAACTGCCACAGCTGAGAATTTACCCTGTAAACTATTAGCCCAGGAGCTCAAAGACACCCTGAGTGAATTTGCTGGAGATGGTAAAAACTGGAGACAAAATGTGCAGTAATAGGTAGACTGGTTAAATAAATAAAAGACTAGCCATAAACATATTATCAGTCAGCATTCTGATGGTTAAAAACTATGGGTGATTCATATCAATACCGATATATATGTGAACATGGAAGTACATCCAAGTTATGATATTAGGTTAAGAAAAACACCAGGTAACTTTTAAAATGTTATTGCAGGAGCTGGAGAGATGGCTCAGTGGTTAGGAGTGCTGACTGCTCTTTCAGTGGACCCAGGTTCGATTCCCAGCACCCACATGGTGGCTATGACCCATCCTTAACTCCAGTTCCAGGGGAATCCAACATCCTCTTCTGACCTTCGTGGCATTGCATGACATGGGTGCACTCACATACATGCAAGTAATACACTCATTTACATAAAATAAAAATAAAATATATTTTAGAAAGTTATTACAGCTTTATTATTTTTTATTATTTTATCTATATGAGTGTATTGCCTACATGTTATTTAAATGCACCTGTGTTGTGCAATGCCTGCAGAGGTCAAAAGAGGGCATCGGATCCCTTGGAACTAAGGTTAGCCACCATGTGGGTATTGGAAACTGAACCCAGGTCCTCTGTTAGAGCAGCCAGTGCTCTTAACTGCCAAGCCATTTCTCCAGGCCCTATATTAGAGTTTTTAATATTTAAAGGATAATACCAAATTGTAAACAGTAGTTACCCCTCAGGATAGGACTGTGAGGCTTTGTGCTCTTTATTTTGGCATGTTGGCTTTTGTTTTTACATTGATTGTATTACTTTTCTAATTGGAAACTCTCTGTCCTTTTTATGCTGAATATGTCAACCAATCACCAATAAAATCTCACTCTTCCTGGAACTCAAAACCCAGGTAGAGTTAATGCATGTTCAATTTCCTGTAGGGACAGACTGAAGAATAGAAAAGTAAAATTGTGCCTTAATTTTTCACTCTAGTGATTCAGAAAAAGCATCTGGGAAGATGAAATGTTTTGATAACCATAAGAAGTAAGGAACTCCAAAATGGGCAACCCTCAGCCAAAATACAACTGATTAAATGACCCCTAAATTTAAAGAAAGTTGGAGAGAATCAGGCAAAAGGAGGGAGGTAGCAAAGCTCTGATCACAAGACCAAAACAACCAATAATGCCAAGGTGGGTTTGTAAGGAGGCTCAAAGGACTGCAGTGGGGCCTGTGATAATGCTCCTTGGGCTAGACTCTGCAATCTCCAACTGTGAGCTGTCCCTAGCATGGGTCTGACTAAAATACACTCTGGGCTTGCAGGACATCGGGGATTAAGAGGGCTGGCAGGGCAGCAGCTTGCACTGGAGACCACGCCCACCCTCTGCTCTGCTCCGACTATCCAGGATTTGCTTCTTTCCTCAGCACTAACTTCCACCTCCATCTACGAGGATGCTGGATGACATCACTTCTTGTTTGGGGGGCAGAAGCTCACTATGTAGCCAAGGCTGAACTGGACCTATGTAGCCCAGGATGGCCTAGAACTCATGATACTCCTGCTAAAGAATTGACATTACAGGCATATGTAACAGGTACATGCCACCGTGTCTGACTTAAATGGATCATTTCTAAAATACACTGGCAACTTTAAAGTTCTTAAATTACATATTAAGATTCATTTAATGTATGAGACTGTCCATTCTCCTAGACTCCCCACATTATAGATCCTTTCTATCATTATTAGTGTATTGTTTTAAAAGCTACACATACAAGCAAGGCATGGTGACACACACCTTTAATCTGGCACTTGCAAGCTGAGGGAGGTGATCTCTGTGAGTTCAAGACCAGGTAGGGTCATATAATAAGACCTTGTCTCAATTTAAAAAAAAGAAAAACCTGGGCGTGGTGGCGCACGCCTTTAGTCCCAGCACTTGGGAGGCAGAGGGAGGCGGATCTTTGTAAGTTCAAGGCCAGCCAGAGACAGGGACACCCTGTCTCAAAAAGACAAAAAAAAAAAAAGTTACATTTAAAAAGAAAAAAAGGAGAGAGAAACATGTTCACACTTTCCCAGCATTTGGCTTGCCCCCAGGTGCAGCAAGATAGGGAATGCACCATTAAAAAGCACAGCCCCACTGAGCTGAGGGAGTAACTATCTGGAAGCAAAGAGAATGATGGCTCTCCTATTTCCTCCATTTGATATAAGGCACTTCCAGCCTGGAAGACAATGGCAAGTGCCTGTTGCTGAGGTAAAGCCACAGTCAATTCTCTAGGCAAGTTTGAAAAACATTACAGGAAAAATTCATTCCTATAAGTTCTTTATGTTCAAGACAAGAATCTGAGGTTTACAAGCCCATTTCAAGATCTAATCCAATCAGGGGCTGGAGAGATTTCTCAGTGGCTCAGAGCACTGGCTGCTCTTGCAGAGGACCTGGGTTCAGTTCCCAGCACCACATGGTGGCTAACAACTGACCTTAACACTAGTTCCAGGGGAGCCAACACCACGTTCTGGCATCTGTGGGCACCGCATGCACGTGGTACACGTGCATGCAGGCAAAACACTCATAGAATACAAATAAATTTTTTTTTATTAAAAAAAAAGATCCAACCAACATCCACAAAAAAGAGCCCCCACACAGACCTGGTGACCCCTTGCTAAGGGCTGTCTCTCAGCCTCCAAAAGCTACCACTGGAAAATGGCAAAGGTGACAAAAACCCACTTACAGGCATCTTTAGTGGTAACCTGGGGGGCAAGTCAGAGATGAACTCTTCGAATCTGATCAGCTCGTTAGCGTGATGCAGCAATGCTTCGGAGGCTTGGTTTTTATGCACCAAAATGATGTGAAAACCATGCCTATGTCTCAGGTCACTGAGTTCCAATGCAAAATTGACATCAGCTGAAAGAAAAGACACACAGATTCATTTGCAAATATTAAAAATATTCAACAAAGAGCCCTCAACGAGTCTAGTGACAGCCACCAATGAGAAAGGAATGCCTGGTGAATGCTCAGAGTCACTTTCTCCCCTTCCTTTGAGAGGAGCGAGCACATTTCCTTCAGAATTAGTATGATGGGACCATCATACCACACCAATATGGAACACAAGACCTATGTTCCTCTAATAGTAATAGAGAGCAGGCATTAGTGTGCTGGGGAGAAATTATCTTACCTTTTCCCCTCCCTAACAACAAGGTCTTACTATGTATCCCTGGCTGCCCTGGAACTCTCTATGTACACCACGCTGCCTAGAATTCACAGAACTTCCTCTGCGTCTGCTTTCCGAGTGCTGGACTAACCACACTCGACATAGCACCTTGAATTTTAAAAAATATTTCTTGCCAGATGTGGTTGCGCATGCCTTTTATCCCAGCACTCGAGAGGCATAGGCAGGTGGACCTCTGTGAATTCAAGGCCAGCCTGGTCTACATATCAAGTTCAGGCCACCTGGGGCTACAGGGAGACTCTGTCTCAAAAAGACAAAAAAAAAATTTTATTATCTTTATGTGTATGAATGTACTGCTTGTAGGTAGGTGCACCCGTGTTGTGCAACGCCTGTGGAGGTCAGGAAAGGATATCAGATTCCCCTGAAACTGGAGTTACCAATGGTTGTTAGCCACCATGTGGGTGCTGGGAATCAAACCTGGGTCCTCTGCAAAAGCAGTCAGTGCTCTTAACTGCTGAGCCATCTCTCCAGCCCCTGCATTTTTTTAAAAATTAATAATATATAGCTAAAGGTGGGGGAACCAAAAAAAAACAGAATCACATTTTCTTGAATCAATTTGGTCCTGCAAGAACACAGGAGAAAATATAAAAACTCACAGACTCTTTTCCCTTTCCTTTCCTTTCCCTTTCCCTTTTTTCTTCCCTTCCCTTCCCTTTCCTTTCCTTTTTTGAGACAGTAGCTCACTATGTGGCCCAGGCTGGCCCTGACTCATTCAAGATTCTCTTGCCTCAGTCTATGTGCTGGGATTACAGGGATGAGCTACCAGGCTAGGCTGTAGACTCAATCTTTTTCCCTCAATAATTCTCAACAATCAGCAGTGTTTACCCTCCTCTGTGGGAACCCTGGGCTTGCATGCTTCTGACTCCACAATAATCCCCACACAGCCAATGTACTGACATCAGCAGATGCTTTGACACTTACTTGACACAAGAACCACAGTAGCTGGAGCAGTGTGTGTATTTGCGAACCTTCGCAGGCTCTGGCGCAGTTTATCATCAGCAGCATTCTTTGCAGTAGCATTGATGTGAGCAACAGTTACCTGTATTCATTTATTATAAGGGCCAAAGAACAAGAGCTTGGGTAAGTGAACTGCTACACACTCGGTCTACATTTTAGTAGATTAATAAAAAAAAAAAAAAGAATCTTATTATATAGCCCAGGCTAGCGTTAAACTCTTGATTCTTCTGCCTCAGCCTCCAGAGTGCTGGAATTAGAGACACACCGTCATACCAGTGCCTAGTGGTTAAGTCATGAGGAAACAGACTCTTTGTTACTGTTCGGAATGGGAAACTGGATTACAATTGGGTCCTAGTAATTTTAGAATTGGTACTCCACATAAACTAGATAAATGACTACACCAGCTCTCATTTCTAATTACTTTTGAACTTCTTTTATCCCTCTTTTAAAAAATAAGTAGGAGGGGCTGGAGAGATGGCTCAGTGGTTAAGAACACCGGTTGTTCTTACAGAAGACCAGGGTTTGAATTCCAGCACCCACATGACAGCTAACAATTGTCTGTAACTCCAGTCTCAGGGGATCTGACAGCCTCTTCTGACCTCCTCAGGCATTGAACGACACGGGTGCACTTACCTACATGCAGGCAACACACACGTAAAATAAAAATAATAAATAAAATTTTAAAAAAATAAGTAGGGAAAAGGGAGTAAAACTTGAACTCATCAACTTTCCATGATGCACTGTGCCCACAATTTGTAATTAGTGGAACTGGCTATGGTACAGTGTGGGCTGGGTCTCATCACTTGTCTATGCTATCCCTTGGCTGTGGCCTTCAGGATCTGGAGTTGTATGGCAGAATGAGGAGCAAGTAACACCCCTAAGAAAGACAAAAACCCAGAGTCCTGATGTGCCCACCAGGCTCACACAGAACGGTCTCCAAAGTAAAGAAAGGTGTCTCAACCATATGTAATTCTTGACTAGATTTAACAGTTTTTTTAAATATATATAACATGGAATATATGTATTTGTATATTATATATATAAATATATGTTTTATACAAGAACATGGGATGTCAATGGAATCATCTGTCCAAGGGTCAAAACACTTGAATTCCAGCTCCAGATTTACAGCAGACTTTGGGGTCAGACTACATTAATGCTAGGCACAGTGACACACACTTTTTAATTTCAGCGCTCGGGAAGGCAGCGTTCTGTGGGTTCCACGCCAGCCAGGGCTACATAATTGAAACCCATCTCAAATATATACATAAATAAAAATTCTAGTTTTTTTTCATTTATTGGCAATGTGATCTTAAGAAAGTAGTTTCTGAGCTAGGTGTGGTGGCACATGTCTTTAAACCCAGCACTTAGGAGGCTGAAGCAGGCGCATCTCTATGAAATCAAGGCCAGCCTGGTTTACACAGTAAGTTCCAGGCCAGTTGGGGCTACAGGAAGACCGCCCAAAAAAAACCAGAAAGTGGTTTTCCTTCTTAGTACCTCATGTTCCTCTGTAAGCTGCAAATGATAAAACCGTCCTGGGTGCCTGGTTCATAGCTATCAAAGTCAAAGTGGATGGCACGTTGCACCCATTACAGCAGCAGGGAACCAAAGTACAGGTAACACCACTGAGAGACCAAGCAGGGGCCAAAACCTTTAGCATTTAAGGAATGACCATGTGCTAGCTTCCCTTATTTGAAAACTTAACACAAATACAATGACATCACTGAGCCAGTCTGGAATTGGAATTTTCCTAAAAATCCAAGCAACCATACCTGCTTATTCTGCTACCACAGCAGACTGGATTCTTATATTAAAAAAAAGTTTTACCTGGCAATTATTCAGTTCTTGAATAACTTCTTTGTTTTCTTTACTGATGTCACATACACAAATAAATTCTGCTTCTCTGTGTCCTTTAAAAAACTTTTCACGGATTCTTTGCACAACAGTAGTAGCTGACCGGCCAGAGGGAACTGAACAGTTTTCAATATCCCAAAAAACTCCAATGGGGGGTAGGTTTTCTAGCACCTGTCCGGCTATTGCAACTTCTGGTGACCCTTAAGAAATGTTAACACTTTCAGTTAAAAAGAACAGCAAATTAAAATATAACAACAGGTAGCACTCTAGCAGAAAAACCAAATGGTTGACTGATGTTAAGTTTACCAATACCAACTTCACTGGCTGACCTGGGAAGCAACCACACTGTTTCAGGATCACACTAAGAGATGTTTTTCCTATTTTTAGTAATGAACAAATCTACAAGTCAAAAGATGTAAAGTCCACAACAAATCAAGTTAAAGTGTCGCCTTGTCTCCAGATGTTTCTGTGAACACTGACTTGGAATCAAACAGATGCTGAGCACTGACTTGGAACAGAGTGGATGTCTCCACCCTCAGCATAGACCTGGCTGGGTATGGAAGAACACCGAAGAGATATCCAAAGTGAAGCCAGCTCTGTGCTGACTTTAAATTAGTTTAATACTTCATTAACATCTGATTTAACCTTTTAAAAATGTTTTCAGAAGATAAAATTTCATGTTATCAGTACTTTTTAGGGAAATAATTTTGATCAGGAACTCTCTTGAGGTTTCAAACACTATTAATAATCAGTCATTACTAAATTGTTCTAAAAAATGTCTACGGAGCATACATCAACAAGTGTGATTAAGAAGCTAAGCTGAGCCCATCTCCTCTAGCATTTAATCTCTCTGAGCCCCATCTTCTCATACAGCATCTGGTCTCAAACAGACTAGTCCAACACAAAGGACAAATGACTGACCTACTGGTCTATAATTTGTCAAATGAGAGAAGGGAAGACTCATATATACTTTAGAGTTCACATCTGGCTTTAGAACCTCAAGGAAGCTTTTAGAGGCGATAAAATGCAATGTTAGTGTCAGATACTAAAAAACCACTTATGATTTAACATTTCAAAAATGTTTCCAGAAGGTAAAATACAAAAGATAATATGCACTTTCTATGCCACTATGTTATTTACCAAATTTCGAAGCAGCTTTGCCTAGACTGGTTGCCAGTAACAGCGTGGTCTCCTTCCCTGTTCCTTTTGTTCCACAGCCATTGCACAGAGGGATAGCATGAGGTGCGGGCTGAGTGCTTGGAGGTGGTATATTTGGCCAGACTTTAGCAGCATCAAGTATACTATTTCTTGCCGGCTGTTTCAACATTTTTTAAAAAAGGAGTAAGTTACAGACACATTTCAGAATCTAGTTTATACACAACTAAAAAACTCATTTAAGGGTTTCACCTTTCTACCTATGGACCTCTGATAACATATTTTCAAAAACTGTTTCTCAGAATCATCACTACCAAGCCATAGTCTCATCTCAAGAGGTGACTTGAAATGATCAGGGAGATGTTCATATGCTCGTTGGGCCCTTTCCATCCCATTCCATCCTGGGCCATGTATCTGCTCCCATGGAGACCACATGCACCTTGTATAAAGGGCAGCAAAGCCGTCAGTAGAACACCAAGTGACTGGCGCCAAGCTTCAGCCTCCCCACATTACAAAAAAGACTATGTGGAATTACCTACATGGTATGGAAGGGTCCACATATAAGCTGAGTTTAAGTTATAGGAACTTGATCAAATGTGCCCTAGCCACTGAGGATAAATGGATCATGGAAGCTCTGCTAAACTAAGCTCTCAGGTAAGGAATGGATTTCCTTGACCAGAGGCTCTAAAAGTACAAGCTACATAAACAATTACTCAGTGCTTTTCTGGATGGTCTCCCATTTTACCCTTTGTGTCTTTCAGGCCAGAAGCAGTTAGGCTGATGGGGTGCAATCTACATGGTGGAAGACTCTTCAAACCCATGCACAATAAGGACACGGCAAAACAGAGACTCAAACCTCAGCTGCCCCCAACATAAAAGAACAAAAAGACACAAACCTTGTTTAGACAGTCTTCACAGTAAAGCGAGCCCTTTAAACAAACCGGAGGTACCACGTTTAGGTGCAAAGAGTTGGTGCACAAGTGAGGCGTCAGCTCCGACTGGGGAAGGTGCTCTTCCAAACGCCCAGGAGCCCCACTTGGGAAATCAGAACAAGGGAAATAGCCAGCAGAGGTGCAGCCCTGGAGAGTCGGGAACTGATGTAGCTTGTGCACGTTACTGTGACATGACTGGAAATGGAGCTTCCCACAACAGGGCAGGTGCTTGCAGGAAGACAGGTTACCCTCTACACACATGCCAGGGAAGTCACTCGCAAGGCCCACCAAGTTGTTCCTAGCTGAGGCATTCTGAAGTGAAGATGCAGACTGGAAAGCAAACCCTGACCCTACCTGACACGTGATTGTCCTGGTGCTTTTTGAGTCTAAGAGTGTGCCCGTGTGAATCAAGCTACTAGCACCTCCACTGCTGCCACCGCCACCACCAAAATGCAGGGGTGATGTGGAGGGTTCGTTAGGGCAATGAGCACAGCAGCTTACTTTGGGGACGGCTGAGAGCTGTATTTTAGGTTGCTGAAGAGAATTAATATCAGGAAGTGGGACTGCTGGGAAAAGTTTAGAGCCAACATGAAGGGGAGATGGTACATCCTTTAACTCCACAGCAACTTTCTTGTTCTCCATGTACTCTTTCTGGGAAGAGAAAATTGAAACACAAGTCAATTTGGGGGAGCCAATGAGTTTTGGTTTCTTATATGCTACTGCATTTAAAAGTGGAAAACAGGCCGGGCGTTGTGGCAGACACTTTTAATCCCAGCACTTGGGAGGCAGAGGCAGGCGGATCTTTGGGAGTTCGAGGCCAGCCTGGTCTACACAGTGAGTTCCAGGCCAGCTGGGGCTACAGGGAGACCCTGTCTCAAAAAGATTAAAAAAAAAAAAGTGGAAAACAAAAATGTCTAATTCTATTGTATCAATCATAAACGCACAAACGGAAAAGCAGCCAGCTAAGACCAGAGTGGGACAGAGGGCTCTGTTTACAGTTTCAGCAAACCAAGTTACTGATCCATGCCTGAGAGACTTCCTATTTGTAACTTCCCCTGGCCTCAAAGGATTGTCTGAAGACAAAATGGGCAGCATTCAAGAAAATGGCTTATAGGTGAAGTGGCTTCCTTTTATTATTCCTGTAGTCAGTGAGTAAAGGGTTTTAGTGGGGTCCCCATAGGAGAAGAGTAATATTCCAAACACTATAAATGGGACCAGCCATCTGCCCAAAGTGGTCCAGCTGTGCTGCTAGGAAACACTAAAGCCTAAGTACAACCATTATGTGGCCAGTGCAAAGAAACAAAGTAACTAGATATCTGGAAAAAGGGAGTAAGACAATCTTCATGATACTCCCAACACATGTACTGGACACCAGCACATCACAAAGGTGAGAAGTGTGGCACTGGACCAGAGGCCTGGGTTTGACATGGTTACTTAACTCTGTGCTCCCATTTCCACAAGTATAAACAGGGAACAGTAAATGCATGGCCTATATGTATTGGAAGATAAATGAATCAGAGCACATAAAGCACTCAGTACAGCACTTGGACTCTCAAAGGGGATCTATAGTGAAGAGAGAACACAGCCATGAAGACAAAGAAGTCCTCCTCTGATAACCAAGACAGGTTTTCCCCTTGACGCACAGAGACGTCTATCTGCTCTTTTAACTTCATTCCTTTTGCTCTGATTCTCAGTTAAAACTTGCTCTTCCCTGCATGCCACTGTCAAAGCCCAGTTTCCAACTCTGAAAAGGTGAGAGCAAAATTCTGAGTTGGTGAGTCCATGAGACCAGATCCCCCATGCTCAGGAAGGCCTGCTTGAGAGGCCAGTCCTGTGTGTCAACTGTTCCTAAAGCAAAACACTTCTGAAATGACCCATAATACTTGAGGGCTTGCAGTGCAGACAACCATAGAGTGGAACAAATGGGACCAGCCCATTCACTATGTACGTATGAATTCACGATGCAGTGAAAACCTAAAGGAGACAGAAAAATCAACTGATTTTTAAAAGTCTTATATGAATACCAAGCAGAAGAGAAATAGCAAGGTGGTACTGTGCACGCATAAAATCAGAAAATGACAAAATCACAACAAAAAACTGGGGACAGGGAGACAGATTAGAAGTGTCCTTAGTATATACAAGGTCAGTTCAATGAATCCCAGCACCACACACACCAAAGTGATATACTTAGTATTCAAGAGAAATCTTCAACAAAAAGACTGTCAATTAGGTCCTGTCAGTCTTTTCTAATTTACAAGACTTAAAACTAAGAAGACAAACCAGGCATGGTAGTGCACACTGATCTGAAAGTCCTGCACTTGGGAGGCCAAAGAAAGAGGATAACAAACTCCAAGCCAGCCCAGGATATGCAGTGAGAACTTATCTCCAAAAACTACAGGTCAAAAATTACTTAAGAAGTTACAGTTAAATATATTTTATATTTTTCTCTCATTTTACTATACAAGTTTTAGAATTTGAGGCTTTATAAGAAGCCAATTTTCTCCAAATTTTAACATTAAACACTTAAAGCATCTGTTACTCAGAGTGGAGTTGAGTTAAGCAAGTGTATTCCCACTGAGTGAGGGGACCACAAGAGTGTGGGGCAAGGAACACTGTGGCAGGAGATTCCCAGACCACCCAGACTGCCCATCTAGTCTCAGCATGCTACATGCCATCACAGTTACCGTTTGGGGACTAAGAGGCAGTATCTGCTCAGGACGAGAAAAGCAATTGGAGAATTTCCAAAGCCATGGCTTAGCATCATTATCTTGTTGAAGCCATCCACGTGTTCTCCTGTGGGGGTTCTCAGTTCTGTTTCCTTCCATCATACAGCCAAACAAAGTGCTTCAACATTCTTTCATCTTTCTTTTCTTTCATTCTTCCACCCTGAAAAAATAAGTGTCCATGTTACTTCTTTCGTAAGGACCCACTTTACAGTACATGAGGGTATGAGACAGCAGCAAGTCTAGAGGAAGAAAAGAAGCGTGGGTATCACAGCTTACTACAGGTTACCTGGAAAACCTAGTTGATTGTGTACACTTAAAACTAAGTGTCTGAAGTTTCTTTTTTCAATCTATAATCTGAGACTGAGGTAGTGCGGTCAGTAACAGTGCCGGCTGCACAAGGATGAAGACCTGAGTCCGGATCTCCAGCACCCACATAAAAGCCAGACACATATCTGTATTCCAGCATTGAGGAGGATACAGGAAGATCCCTGGAGTTTACTGGCTAGCCTGCCTAGCAGAGTCAATGAGCTCCAGGTGCGGAGAGACTTGGTCTCAAAAAATAAGGTGGAAGGGCCAGCAAGATGGCTCAGGGGGTAAAGATGCTGGCCTCGAAGCTTGACAACCTGAGTTCTATCCCCAGTACCCACATGGTGGAGAGAACTGACTCCCACAAGTTGTCCTTTGACTTACATACCCAAACCATGGTGTATGTACACACACAAGCAAATAAATAAATGTAATAAAAAACATTTTGAAAATGAAGTGGAAAACAATTGAGAAGTATACATTGACCTCTGGTCTCTACATAAGTGTGCACATATGTACATGTGCACTTTCATGAACACATGCACACACCCACATGAACATGTACATATATCACACACAATCTATGATCTACCATTTCTCATCTCTTATAGCTGTTCTCTTCTGTGTGCACACGTGTGTGTGGGTGCTCATGCATGCGTGTGTGCATGTTTTTGGAGGCGAAGGTCAGCCTTGGGTCTCTTCCTCAATCATTCTCCACCTTTTAACAGGGTCTCTCACTGAGCCTGAAGCTCACCAATTTGTCTAGATTGGCTGGATAGTCAACAAGTCCCAGGGATCTTCCAGTCTCCCTTTCCCTGGCATTGAGATTACAGGCACACTCCATTGCACCCAGCTCTCAAGTGGGTGATGGGGACTGAACTCAAGTTGTCATGTTTGAGCCATCTCCTCAGCCAATAGAGCTTTCCAAATGTGGATGCACTTGAGAGACATATTTATTTTTAATAAAGACTTTATTTTTATTTTCTGTGTATGAGTGTTCTGTCGGCATGTAAGTGTGTGTGCAATGTTTGCAGAGGCCAGAAGAGGACATCAGATCCCTCCAGAATTGGGAGTTAAGGAAGGGTGTTAGTGGGTGTGTGGGTGTTGGGTACCGAACCCTGGTCCTTTGCAAGAGCAGCCAGTGCTCTTAATCACTGAGTCATCTCTCCAGCCCACTATTTCTTAGACACAGCCATGCTTGAAGGACAGCCAGATCATGGACACTGCTCATCACCAGGTGAGAACACCAGCCTTCCCTCTCCACTTGTCTGAAATCAGCCTGCAAGTAGACTTTTTCTATAGTTTTTCCAAATTTTCAAGCTATCTCTTCCTACAAGTTCTGTTTAGGGGAGCAAAGAAATTAACAGCAAAAAGCATCTAATCTTGATGAAAGAACAACCAGTGTGTCAACCTTTCCCACTGTGTCTCTGATACAAGCACAGAAAGTCCAAATTAAATGACCTCTGAGGACTTTGAATTCCATTCTACCAGAAAACACATCAAATCAATTTCTTGGTTTATTTATAATCAAAGTACAATGTGATAGACTAGACCATCAAAAATCTAACAATGAGCCAGGCGTGGTCTTAATCCCAGCACAGGACTTTAATCCCGGAGGCAGGCGGATCTCTGTGCATTCAAGACCAGCCTGGTCTACATAGTGAGTTCCAGAACAGCTGGGGCTACAGGGAGACCCTGTCTCAAAAGACCAAAAAAAAAAAAAAAAAAAAAATCTAACAATGAAAGAAATCACAAGTCACAGATGTGCCATATCCACTCCAGAATGACCACACTGCTTTATGTCTGACACAGTACACTAAAGGCAGAGAAAGTTAATCCACACTCACAGGCACAGAGAGGCCACTGATGGTGAGAACAACTAACCCTCATTTGTAAGCCCTTGCCACAATCTCAACAGTGGTCATTTACAGGCAATTAATGTATCAGAGATTTCATCTGTGCATGTAGAAGATAATTTCTTTCAGTTATATCTCTGCTAAAATGCATTTCCCAAAAGATTTTATATCTACATGGCAGGAGAAGGGGAGAAATGGTTTGTAATATATTGAAAATATGGGAGAACTGACTACAGAAAGTATAGGGTCAGCCAGCTAAATCCAGCCCACTGTCTGTATGTATATATGTACATACATTCACATTTGTATATATGCACGTGTTAGTTTTTCTGAGACAGGATTTCATTTTGTAGCCCAGGCTGGCCTCAAACTTGTGATAATCTTCCTGCCTCAGCCTCCCAAATGCTGAGATTACATGTAGGAGCCACCACACCCAGTCACTGTCTGTATTTAAACGACCTGTGAACTAAGAATGTATTTTACATTTCTCTTAATTCCTGAGTCTTTTTAAATATGAAGTTGACTTATGTAGTATCCATAAGCTTTCACTAGGACACAGTCACATGCGCTCATCTAAATAGTCTACAGCTGCTCTGCACTGTATGCAGAATTGAGTCTTTGTCTCATAGTCTGGTTACAAAGTCCAATATATTTTACTACTTGGCCAGTTTGCTGAAACTATAAAACTTAAGTCTCTGAAGCTGGGTGTGGTGGCACACGCCTTTAGTCCCAGCACTCAGGAGGCAGAGGCAGGTGGATTATCTGTGAGTTCCAGGCCGGCTGAAGCTACAGGAAGACCCTGTCTCAAAAGACCAAAAAAAAAAAAAGTTTCTGTTTGGCTGGGGGTGTATGTAGCTGAGTGGCATATGCAAGGTTCTGGGTTCAATACCAGGTGCGCACGCACACACACAAAGTTTGTTTCCTTGTCTGTAAACTGTGCATCTACATCACAGCATTACAGAGGAAAAAAATGAGACAAAAGCATCCTACCTAAATTGGTCAGTCTACCAGTGTGTCCTGTACTCAGCACAGGGCCTGCTCCATGATAATCACAAAGTATTTGTTGAATGAGGAAATTAACAGAATACACTATTTACCTACTACACAATTGGGAAGGCTCATCTGGAATTTTTTTGGACAGGGTCTCTCTAGTTCCAGTCTGCCTGGAAGTTACTATAGGGACAAGATTGGCCTCCATCTCACAGAGATCTGCTTGTCTCTGCCTCTGCCTCCTGAGGGCTGGGATTAAAGGCGCGTGGGAAAGAGCTCATTGGACGACAGAGATAAAGCTGCCACCACTGATGCTAAATTACGATACTTGTTTATTATTACATCCAGGTCTGTTGTCCCCCAACAACCTCCTCTCTTAATCTTAAGAACTTGTTCACAGCATACACAGTTTCAACATACTCTCCCAGACCTCTTCAAAGCCAAATCCGGAACGTGAACTAACACTTAGAAAGCTTTACCGGGAAACAGAAACTTAAGTTTCATAGCTAGCCTATGAGTGGGAGTCTCCCTTCTGCTACTGACTCTCCGTCATGGAGCAATTTAGATGGTGGCTGAGCACAGGCTGTGACATCACATTGCCTGTCTGCTGGTCCCCAATACTACCCCTTTCTATCTGTGCAGCTCTGGGCAATTCACCTCTCTGAGCTTGGGATATCATCTCCTGTGTGGGTCTGATAACAATTGTAACCCCTTTAAGGAACTATTAGTGCCTTGGTTACAAGAGCTAACGCACATTGAATATTTCTCAAATGGCCTCCCCTTACGAAGGATTCCCCACCTCATGCTATCCCATTTTACCGGTCTTCGTTAAGTCTTTTTATCTAAAATGACCTTACTTGCTTACTGTTTTATTATTTTTCTCCCCCATTAGACTATAAGTACCACGACAGCAAAGACTATTTTCTTATTCACTACTGTACCCTTGAACCTGGCAAACATCAATAAATAACCGCTGAACAAATGTAGAGATCACCAAATGTGAAGGGAGTCTATTTAGCCGTCCATTTCCTCGAATACAAAACAGGAGACTCATTTTCCGCTGAGAGATGCTGGGAAGTCCAGAAAACACAAATACAAATGGAAAGCTCTGGTCACAACAGTAAGGTGCACCCCCAAGTTCACATTATCATTAATAAGGGGAGTGCCTGCAGCTCTGGCTGCATCCAAAGGGGTTGCTAAGAGACAGACCACTCAGGAGGGCTGCAAAAACACGAACAAGCAAAGAAACAGAACTCCACCCAGTCCTTTTTCTCAACTTTGCACTCTCGAGATGCAAAAGCTTCTCCTCACACCTGGAACGCCCAAGACCGCGCGGGGAGACAGGTGCAAGCGGAGAGTCAAACTCCCCGGACCGGGAAGGGAGACACCCGGGTGACGGGAGGGACCCGGCTGGCAGGGAGGACCGCAGACTTTCTCACGCGGCTCCTCTCGCCAGAGGCGGTCCTGGTCCTCCCGCCTCAGCAGCAGCTGGCAGAGGAAGGGGACGCCGGTCCCCGGCCAGCTCGGCTGCTTCCCGGAGCTGCGAGCCTGCCCCGATCGAGTCCCGGCACTGACAGCGAACTC